CACCCAACACTTCTATTCGAAATGGAAGTAATCCCAACAATTATGAAACAGGAGATTCCTCGAAACCCAACTTTTCTTCGGATATAGAGTGGTTTGGCTAATTATCTTTTATACTTGTCATGCTACTTTTGCTCGAGTGTATGTGTTTTTGCGTTAGCGTTTAGAGATAACACAAGGAATAAGGCTAAGTGTAGCTTTCATTATTAGAATTATTAATTTATGGATGATTACCACATATTCTACCTTTGATGGTAAGTTATACGAACAATCGCAAGGATCAGCGATGGGATCTTGCCTGTCTCCCAGCTTAGCGAGCAATTATATGGCAAAATTAGAGAAACACTTCCTGCAAGAGGCAATACTAACACCCAAATTGTTGCTTAGATACATGGATCACTATTTTGTCATCTGGCCTCATGGTAAGGACAATTCAGATAGTTTCCTACCTTTACTCAACCAGCGTGAAAGGAACATTAGATTCACGATAGAAATGGAAGAGAAAAAGTCCGTATCTTTTCTGGATGTTCTCATCAGTAGAGAAAAGGGTAAGTTAGGAAGAGATGTTCATAGGAAGCCAACATATGTTGACTCTGCTTCTAAGAATTATTTACTCCAAAATTCCAACCTTTGTATTGTAACTATAGTTGGAGAGAAAATTAAGCAGAGCCAACATATGTTGGTTTCCTATAAACATCTCTTCATAACTTATCCTTTTCTATAATGATAAGAACATCCAGAAAAGGTAAGGACTTATTCTCTTCCATTTCCATCGCGAATCTAATGTTCTTTTAACGCTGGTTGAGTGAAAGTAGGAAGCTATCTAAATTGTCCTTACCATGAGGCCAGCTGACGAAATAGTCATCTATGTATCTAACCAACAATTTGGGTGTTAGCATTGCCTTTTGCAGGAAGTGTTCCTCTAATTTTGCCTTTTACAAGAATGACACCCAGCTCTGATGATGTCCATCATATGATGGACGATAGCTCAGCACATTTTCCCCCGACACGAGGGATAAAGTCTCGTGGACTGCGTCAACATGAATATCGTATAAAATCCAAACGGCTGCAGTACAACGAGCTTCATCCGTCCTTATCTGGTGAGATCGACCAACGAATCTCTTCTTCATGCACTTTCAATCGAAATGAAGGTCCCCCTAACATTGTCTAACTACTTCTATATCATGAAAGGAGCCTGTATAATATAAGATTCGCGACCTTTTTCAATGAAATCAAACAATCAAATTAACAAATTTGTGACAATTAACAGGTTTGAATTTACTGATGATCGCTTACTTGATTTTCCTTCATGACTTACACACGATCTTGATAAATGTGAATGGATAATTTATAGTCCCTGGCCTATATAGAGCGTAATCCTCAAACATTCCATAATTGTTATAATCAAATGACTGACGACCTTGGCATATACTAGATTCATAATAAATGATTATCTGATTAATGCATATCTAACATTTCTCACACGTAAGTAACTTTCGAAGGTTTATAGACCAAGATATTAGGGCCCTTAGTATATTCGAGTGCCCTTATCGTTGTTTGGAAGTTGTTTGATCTTATTTTAGCAACTTTTTATATTTACAGAAAAGGGGCCCATAGTATGCATGGTAATTTCCAGATTCCGACCACTGACTTGATACACTTTCAGGCGTTTTGCTGTTTACAGACAATTGGTCATATAATCGGCTGGACTTGTCTCTTTGGCGAGTTGTAGTGTGGTTCTATGGATAGCATAGCTCACTGACGATGCCGGCGAAACGTCTGAGAATGTATCAAGTCCACGGTCCGACTCTAGAAATTAACATGCATATATGGACCCCGGACAAAGTGCGTTCTCTTTGTTTTTTCTGACTATATGACCACGTTGCGAAAACAAGGTCAAACAACTTCTATATTTGGTTTGTATAGCAAGCAGATTATCACAAGTCTCCAGCTTCATACGCTTACGAAATAAAACAACAGAGCCGTGAGACATGTCATGATTAAAGGCAAAGAAAATGTTCAAAGCGATATTTGATGTTGAAATCGGCAGATAAAGTCTCTCCGGTGGCCTCAAAGTCAGTCATCAGCCTCAAGTTGAGTGAAGGTGCCCGTGGTGCCCATCAGATTGTCTTGTTCACTATATAGTGTGTAATTATCCATATAGTGCTTCGCGAATTCAGGTCGCTTGCTTTCATCCACAGATATACCTGCCAATGGGCTCCCATTATTGTAGAATTCGAGGAATGCTTCCTTTTCCCGGGCTAATTCATCAGTAAAGTTATGAAAATACTTTATTTAAAAAAATTTCGAGCACATATCGCTCTAAGATTTTACATTTTATTAGTATTGCTTCGCATTCACTTAGTATGCAAAATGACGAAATTTATACATTCTGAATAGAAGGCTTGAAACCAATTATTAAGAAGGAATAACTGCAGTTAATGGTAGCATCGTTTTAAATTTAGCACTTTATTGCACAGTTAAAAGCTAATTTTTCTGGTC